GCTAACTTAACCCCCCAGTAGCGTTAGGGTGTTTAATCAAAGGATGAAATAAACTGGGGTTGATATCTCCCTGTGATCCGAGGCATTTAAGCACATTGTTAGTCACAGGAGGCGTAAGACAACTGCTCATGAGATTTTCGTATGCGTTGGTCGTAGAGCGCGTGCATGGTTGGATGCGTTGCTGTGCGGAGACGGTCGGCAGTGTAGCAAGTGGCCAGGTGGTGTAATTACTATGCGCATGTGGCTGCGGGCTGTTCCACCTGCTCTGTGTATGTGTGTGTGTTTGTTTGTGTGTGTGTGTATTGACATATTTTGATCGAGTAATGGAATCTAATGTAAATGCTCTCATGGACGGTGTTTACATGATATATTGAAGTACTGAACAAATACCAAACGGCAGCAATCACCTCGCCTTACTCCCCAGAACGTGCGTTAGACCGTCACGGACCAACCATTTATCATTTTGTTGCATGTTCGTAATCTTATCGGTTATTAGGTGGTGTTATATCAATACCTTCCGCCCTCTTATTACTTCTTAAACCTTCTCAAGATCTATTTCGATATCCTGTGCGTCACGCTGGCCACTTAGCGAGCATACTAGTGACCGTCAAAACAAAGTGTTCCGGAAAAAGAGCGTAATGATAGCAGATGGTGTGGAGCTGTATGGCATTTCTCTCTTGGATAATTAAGGACCAGCTGATTTTTTTTTTTACAAGATGTGTGGCACTCGAGAGGCACTTAAGGTGTGCTGTATATTAATGGCACACACTGGCGTTGCACTCATGACACTATTTTCGAGATTTGCGATACAGCACCACGCACAACTGTGGGGTGAGATCGTCTTGACACAGTTAAACGTTGATACCCATTTAGAGACGATACGACTCACCTACAACAATATGACACTTTGCATTATGACACATTTATAACAGTATAACACAAATAACAATATGTCACATATATATGGAGAAGAAACATTTACAATAGACATACGTGAAGCGATACACATAAGATATACACTCAGTATACATAACCTGCTGCATTGTCTGTGATGGAGAGAGAGAGAGAGAGAGTTTGAGTGTGTCTCGAGCGTATTACTCTCTCTCTCTCTCTCTCTCTCTCTCTCTCTCTCTCTCGATTCGTCCGTCTGTGTATCTGTCTCTCCCTCTTTCACCTGTCAACCTGCTCGTCCTTGTAGTAGGGGCGTATAATAATCATTAACATAACCAGTTTCAGGTGTAAAGGTCAGGTAGATGACACTGGATTAATGCGACTCACTGCACAGAGGAAAAAAAATACCTTTCTAACCTAACCACACCATACTACCGCACCACACTACACCACACCAACCACACCATACAAATACCAAGTCCACTACACCATACAACCAAGCCATATCAAGGCTACACCAACACCATACCCAACCGCACAGCACCACACCACCACCACCACAGCCGCACAAAAGACGTAGTGGACAGGATGTGGTGGTACAGAGAACAAGGTGTGACGTGCTACTGTACCTCCGTCTCCCTCGACACATTTGAACCCTCACTCATCATCAGTAACAAGTCCTGTCCTCTCGGTATGACAGTGTCGGGGCTCTTCTAGGTGACACATTAAACAAAAGCAGACACACACTCATCTTACTCTACTCACACACACACACACACACACACACACACTGTCACTATGTTGAAATGAACTGTAGTTTGAGCTGATCCCCATCACATATGTCTTATTTGTGTCACTGTCTTGTATATTATTTGTGTAACCCATTCAAATATGTAACATATTTTCAGCCTGTAGTAATAAACCGTTAATTATTAATTATTATTATTATTTTACACACACACATACACACACACACACACACACACACACACACACACACACACACATACACACACACACACACACACATACCTGCTGATGTGTCACTTACTGTAGTAGGTCATCAAAAAATAATGAACAGATATTAAGTGTTTATATATCAAAGTCTGGGTATTATTTTTCGATTACTAATTACTAACACATTTACATACCAATTAGTATCATATTTCCTATGTTTACTTGTCTCTGTTGGGTGCAATTGTTTTTGGTAATTGTTTGTTAATTGAATGTTCGCTGTCTTGCCTCTATCCATACATTACGTACCTTCAGTGAATGATTTTGGTCGTATTTTCCCCCATCCTAACATCCAGACTCGACAGGCTTTATCCACTATCCGTTTTTGTAGCGTTTTGTGTTCGTCTGTGTTTTTATCCTTACCTCCTTATCCCTCCACATACATAAAATGTGGGGTGGATGGGATGGTTCGGTTGGCGGGGGTGACGAAGATGGTGGACAGGTGGAAGTAAAGACAGGGAGGGTGAGGAATTGCTGAGGATGGATAGGTAGGTGGTGAAGTGGACGGGAGTGAGGGGGGGGGGGGGGTCTGGGAAGGATCACCCACTTTGGAGTGTGGCTCCATAAGAATGACATCAGCGACTGTCTTGGCTTCCTGCCCGAACACCCCTCTCTCCCCTCCCTCTCTCACCTCCCCCTCCCCCCCACTCTCACCTCCCCCCTGCCCCCCACTCTCTATCTGTATGTGCGCATGTATGTGTGTTTGTGTTTATTGACATTTGGTTGTGTGTGTTGTCGTCATCGTTGTCGTCGTGGCAGTGCCCTTCATGTTGTCATTAGTTGATAGCTGGCAAACACCCACCCATTCCCCCCGTGGTCGTTCTCTCATTCATGTTAAAATCTTAATATAACACTAGACGTTCTTTCCACTATCTGCTGGAGTCTCTGCCAAAGGTATTTATGATGTTGTTTTTATTTTTAGTCCTTGACGTTATATCATTATTGGAGTACTGACGTCTGTGTTCCATATTAGTGTCGAGGCTACCGGCCGGAGTCTCCAAGGTTCCTAGGTTATATTTCTCCCATACGACTGGGGATGAGATAACACGTCTAGCTGACCATAGTCACAAGTGTAAAAAAATCGACGCCATTCTGGTTATTTTGTTTTTCTGTCGCAGCTCAAGTGAAACAATTTAATGCTTTTTCACACCCTTGTTAGTTTGAATAATTTTGGCGGGACGCCATTCTGGTTATTTTGTTTTTCTGTCGCAGCTCAAGTGAAACAATTTAATGCTTTTTCACACCCTTGTTAGTTTGAATAATTTTGGCGGGAAAAACTAACATACGAACCTTTGAGGAACTGGAGATTAAGTTATGTTTAACTAAATGGTAAAAATAACTCCGTATTTGGCAGGTTGCGGAAGCTCTACGGACCACCTTTCGACAGGATTAAATAATTACTGTAAACCTGAAATACAAAACGATTCATCATTCACTAAATGAATTATGAGGGTTGGCGACCACAGCCCGTCTACACTCCATAGGTTCCTGGGTTGTCTTGACCAATCTTCCTCCCAAATTATGTATTACAGTATTATTATCTACGCCTCTACGGGACTACACATACAACTTTCAGTTCCATTCATCCACCTTAGTCTCTGCCTTCTTTTGGTCACCCTAACTTTAGTGTTACTCGTTTACATCTCTACCATTATTTTCTATTAAGATAAAAAGTAAATTCATATGTGTGTGAGGGAGGGGGAGGAGACATCTTGAGTGGCAGACATCAAGACACCCTTATCTCTTCTTCACGGTGTTGGGTCATTTACATACCTAATGAAGCTGGGTTCGCTTTCCTCGAGTTTTTGTTTTGTTTCTTCCTCCGTTTTCTTTTAAATAAAATGGTGTTAATGTTACTGTTGGTGGCTGGATATACGGGCCCCGGTTTTAGAAGGCCCGGATCTTATTGGGCCCCAACTCAACTTAAGCCAGGGCAGCCATTAGGATTAGAGTCCAGTAGTAATGGGCTGCAATTCTAATGGGCCCCCAGTACTTTTAGGGCCTTTTTTCTATGGGCCCCAAGTGTATTGATTAAGTTAGATTGGTGTGTGTCGGGACTGGGGCCCATTTGAAGTTTAGCCTTTATGTTTGGTTGCTAAATTATCACTGTTTGGTTTTGTTGTTGGGCGGTGTTCTACCCCCTAGCCAATGTTCCGTGTTGGATCTAAATTGAAGTAAAACTGTCCTTTGGATAAGATCGATCGCTTTAACCCGGACGACGAGTTTAATTGTCGTCTTAGCTTCCTGTGTGACGTCTTCGCTTTACCTTGCAGAGTCGTGGCACTGCAGGCTGGTTGTGTCACCATAGTGTCGTTGTGTCACTATATAGCGTCGTTGTGTCACCATAGCGCCGTTGTCCCACCATAGTGTCATTGTGTGTCACCATAGCATCGTCGCGTGACCTTGCACCACCCACTTGCGTAAACATGTCCCCGCTACTCCGTGTTTTTGTCGTCAGTATGGAGTGTAAATAGTGAGGCAACTTGACACCTAGCCAAGACCCCGGGGCAACACCATGCTTTAAGGGGAGGGAAGGCTGTTGAGGTGGTGGGTGAGGTAGGTGGTTTAGAGGAGGAGGAGGAGGAAGAGGAGATTGTTGTGGGGTCGTGAAGGAGGAGGAGGGGAAGGTGATGGTTGAGGTAGTATAGAGAAGAAGGAGGAGGTGATGGTAGTAGTGGTATAGAGGAGAAGGATGTTGTGAGGTGGTGAAGGAGGAGAAGGAAGTGATGGAAGTTGTATAAAGTTTGAAGAGGAAGGAAGTTGGAAGGTTGTGGCAGGTAGAGGAGATGTGGGGAGATAATAGAAGGGGGAGGAGGAGGGGGGAGGGACATGGAAGAGAAGAAAAAGGCACATTGGTTAGTACGCAGGAGGGTGAGGTGCTGGTGGTTGTTGGGAGGATTGTGGGGGAGGGGGTAGTGGTGGTTGGGGGAAGAGATGCTGAGGGAAAGTGAGAGGGAGGTTATTGCCAGACTTGCGTACCTGGCAATTTTTTATTTATAAATTTTTGTCGCGTTAATGTTTTCGTTTTTTGTGACATTTTATGGTTAAAAAAGAGGATATAATCATGTTTATCTCATTCTGTGATTCTGTTTCAGGTATCAGGTATTTCAGGTGTGCCAAACGTGTAGTATATAAAGCGGTTATATAAAGAAACTAAAAACACTAATCTTACAGTCGCAGTGCAAAGGAAAGAAAGACTGATAGAAAAAATAAAAAAGTTTGTGATACTACTTCAGTAGACTGTGTGTGTTGTATTTTTAGACAAAGAACAAGATAAGCGGTGTTAAAATTTGTGTGATGTGAGAATGGGTGAATATTTATGATAGAGTCGCTCCCGAGGGAGGTATGTAAGACGGGAGGATGGTGGCGCCCCTGTGTTACTGAGAGGGGCGTCCCCCATCCATAGATGGAGGCTGAAATGAAGAACACCATTAGGAGAGATTCTGGCGAAGAGGACATAGTTGACGAGCAGCATTCAACAGCGCCTTCTGCAGTAGACGACGAAGAGAGGGAGAGGTCTGACGGTGAAAGCTCAACAGGTGCCCTCAGCATGATGCTGGAGGGCGGTGAGGAATTGCTGGTGATGGACAAGCCGCTGCTGGAGATCCCATGCGGTGTCCATGACCAGACACTGCTGGAGGTGCCGCTCCCCCCCACCAATGACAACAATAATAATAACAGTAATCCTGAGGGCGTGATGAGTCCTCCAGATAATGCCCCGCCGCACGTCAAAGGGATAGCCGCAGTAAAGACGGCGTTTGACCTTGAACACGAGACTGTTGACGAGCCAGATGCCCGTCTAGGATTCATCAACGACGAGGGTGCCACCGACCTGATGGCGGCCATCTGTCGCGTCCTACCGGAGCTACAGGCCGTAAACCAAGTGTGTGTGATGCGCCACTCCAACCTCGTGTTGACTGAGGGAGTAGGAGCCCAGGGGCAGGCCACGCAGCAGGGGAGTGACGTGCTGTTCCCCGGGGACACACCCACGCCCCCACGGACTTCACCTGATCACCCTGTACTTACTAACCCCTCAGATGAACCACACATGAAACACACACAAGCATCCAGCACGCCATGCCTTGGGTCTACTGAGAATGGCCCACAGTATGAAAATTCTAGCGTTGTAGAATCTCAGGTGGATGTCCTTCATATGGGTAAAAATACAGACCTGAAGCATTTATGTTCAGAGGAGAAGGACTCTACTGCAGACTGTGTCGGTGGAGAGGAGGTGGAAATGACGCCCGCTAGATCTGAGGGCGAACAGAAGTCCCAGTGGCTTGTTGATGAGGAGCACCCGGTAGAAGGACCCGAGACTGTGACTGATGTACTGATGGGAAAAGAGTTTGTAGTTAAAGAGAGAAAGGAAGGCGCAGACCAAAACGGACCGAATGTGAATAGTGAATTAAAGATTGAGAGGGGAGGCAAGGATAAAGGTCAAGGAGACATGGAGAGTGACGGAGAGACTTCAAGCCCGGATATACTAACAACACTCGACAAAGGAGGGGAAGACAACAGTGAGGAACTTGTTTCAGACGGAGATCATGCTGGGGACTTGGATACCCCACACCAAAATGCCACAGAAGATAAAAAAGAAAATGTGATTCTGCATCCAGAAACCGGGCTCGACCCACAGCCTGTTGAGGGTTGTAACGAGCCGCACTACGCCACGGTGAGGAAGGGTTGCCCTGTACCCATAGTGGATGACGGGAGAAAGTACGTGAACTGTGAGGTCGTGGAGTCAGGAGGACAGAGTAACGACGGTGCCAAAGATGTGAAGGTTGTGATGGACTCTTCTGAATATGTATACGACTGTCCAAGTGAGATGGAGAAGAAAAGTAGCAGTAGTAGTAACGTTAGAGAGGAAATTGGTGATAAAAGGATCACTACTGACACTAACTTGGAGGTTGAAAGTGAAAGTGGCGCGATTGACCCCAAAGAAAATGAAAATGATACCCTGCCCAGGGTCTCTGAGCCAATCTATGAAAGCATCGATGATAGAAATGAAAGAAGCGACGATAGAAATGAGAGAAGCGGCCAGGACTGTGGTAAGACCCAGGGCCTCAGAGTGTGCAAACTACTGTAGGTGCTTTCAGGCTTGGTGGCATGACGCTGGTGCTGGTGGCCCGCTGCTCCCTCGCCTGGCTCTACTCCTTTTTTCCTATTTTTCTTATGTTTTATCATATTTTGTAATTGTGGTGGTGGTTCTCTTTTCTTTTCTCTCTCTATGTACAGTACTTTGGTTCTCGTCCTCAACTAACTAGTATGTTTATTTAACCATGACTCAGAGCTGCACATGTTAGACCGTGAGGTAGGTATAGGTGGGTGCCGTGGGTCAGTGTCAGAGGCCCCTTCATCCATCCACCCACTCCTTCAGTGAGATAAGTGAGTAGGAGAGGCAGGTGGGCGGTGTTATCTAGACGACTCGCATGGGAAATATTACTACTAAAGGCTTCTATACCCATAATAACTTACCTTTTGGCTGACGTGTGCTCGTGTGTCACAGCTTTTAAGGCGCTCACCCCCATATGTGTTTGTGTTCCTTGGTCGTCTGGAGCCTCACGGTCTAGCACGTGTGATGGATGTTACAAATTTAGCTTTTAAGCTTCTTTGTTTTTTTCTCTTCAATGTTGATATTTTTTTAATTGCCAGAAGCTGTGTATGTTGTATGGTGTTTAGTTATCTTTTATAAAGGGGTTTAATTTGTGGGTATATTCAAGTTTGTTTTTGAGTAATGTCACTAATGGTCATGTTTTTCTTTCACAGACTCACGGTCGAGCAGGTCGAGTCGTTCTAGTCGGTCGAGTACCCTGAGTGGCCCCTGGTGCGAGGACCGCATCTACGAGGACATCTCTGACCTCGGTAGTGGCGGTGGCGGCGGTGGCAGCGTCGGGGGCGGCAGTGGCGGTGGTGGAAGCGGCGGTGGAGGTGGTGGTGGGGGTGGCGTCGGCTCTGGTGGCAGCGAAGAGACCTGGGTGTCGCGTCGCCTCCACGTGCACCGTCAGCTGTCGTCTTCAGACTCGTGGGGGTCCGAGGACTTCGAGTCGTACTCTAGCAACGAGGAGGAGAACGGTGGAGGGTCAGTCAAGACACAGGCGCCAAAGTGAGTGCTGTACCTGGTCCATGTTTTTCCCTCCATGTATAAATTATAACGAGTAGAGAATGTTGTGTGTTACTTTACTAACAAGAGAATATTATACTTGTCAGTTATTGTATTCAACCTTTTAGCGGTACTCGGGAGTCATTTTTACATTTACCCAAATGTCGTAGACGGTTATCACATGTTGAAATTCACTCCCCGAAGGGCAGTAGCGAAGCTTATATTATTTTTACGCCCTTGTATGGCAAAAAAGTATTGTGAGGTGATGTTTTCTGTCTTTAACTCCAGAAATCTCTCTCTTTCTCTCTCTCTCTCTCTCTCTCTCTCTCTCTCTATATATATATATATATATATATATATATATATATATAGAGAGAGAGAGAGAGAGAGAGAGAGAGAGAGAGAGAGAGAGAGAGAGAGAGAGAGAGAGAGAGGCACACAAGTTAGGGAGACAAATAGCAATATTAAACATTAGACTTGACCACGAGGTTCCAATGGAAACAATGTTTCACATATTAAAATTTGTCTTAGCTGATAACATTGACCTGCCATTGAACGATAATGAATGGTGTCGAACTAAAAAAATGGACTTTATGTTATAATACGAATGATACTGAATAATCTTATCTTGGTGATAGGCTTCGCTCGATAACAGTCCACAGTTGTCATGGCAGGACGGTTGAGGTCGCAGCTGGTGGACTGTGCTGCCTGATTGACAAACTTGTTATTGGGAGTGCAGGAAGACGTTAATGGTGTTGGGGCATTGTGTACCGCCTGAGGACCACTGGCACGCACCGCGGATGTGTTGCACTGAATCGTCAAGCATCTTCGACTTTGTGTTGTGTTGGAAAAGGGTTGGAGAGGGATGTTGATACCAATTTGATGTTTACGTAATGGACGGGTATCACATGGCGTGTGTGTGACACCTAATGAAATGGTTCCATTGTTGACGAGAGAAAAGGGTGAAGTTTAACAATGGCTCCTCCAGTTTCTTTGACTAGAAAATTCAGCGTAGATAATACTCCTAAATCTCGAGTTAAAGTGAAACGATCGCAGAGTTTAATTTTTTCCGACAACGCGGCTGGTTCATTAGGTGCTACCCCTGGCAAGACTCTCTTCCGTGGTAGCTGTGAAGTTCTTAATACCTCTCAAGACAGCTTTATGGACGACAAGAATACGCCTTCCCAATTGAAAAAGTCTAACTCCTTTTTGGGTAAAAAAATTAAATTAATTCTAGGTAAAAAAAGTAACAAGGTGGGTAAGGCGAGTGGTGGTGCCGAGGATGGTGACGAAACAATTAATGATGTCGAACAGGTAGAAGTGTGCACTCAAGATCGTTCACCTGTTGATGAACGAGAAGGTGAGCCAGAGAGCTTGTTGCCAAAACAAGCAGTTGACTCAGGGCTCTCATGTCACCCTACTGCTGTTATGGTCGACAGAAATAAGGTTGGCATTACACCTGATTACGAAGACAATCCATCAAACAAGTCATCGGTGTGGTATGTTAATAACTCGACGTCGGAGGAAGAGGACGAATCGCACTGTTCTAACCAAGAAGATGAATCGCCTGATGAGAGAGACAACAGGTCGTCTGGTGATATGAAAGAAAATAAATTGTGTTGGGATGTAAGTGGCCGGGAGAGACAGAAAGACTGGGGTGAGATGGAGGGCAGGAGTGATGATAACGGTCCGTGTACTTGTAGCACGGGCCAGCTCTTCACCATTAGTGAAGAATGTGTTGACACAGATGACGCTGCCCAAAACTCTTCTACAGACAATTCTGAAGGAGATACAGTTGAGTGCAGCTCGTCGTATCTGGCGTCGACGCCACCACTGCTACTGCGATGTCGGATGACCACCAGCAGCGCCGTCACCACCAATCGCTGGAGTGTAGCCGAGTCCGGCATTCACGCCTCCCCAAGACTTATAGAAGCAGCTAACAATTTTATTAGCTTGTCCCGTCTCAGCATCCCAGACAGTACAACGCCGTATGATGAGCTCGATTGCAACAAAGATAATGATTCGTCAGAGGAAAGCACTATTCAGAACTCGCCGTCCAATAGCACAGACGAGACTGTGACATCCGGTAACCCTTTTGGCTCTCCTAATTCTTCGGATTTCTCCGAAAACCTGGGAATGAACACAAGCCTGAGTATGATGGAGCTGCCGCAGTTTACAGAAGATGAAACACCGTGTCCCAGACAGGCGAAGACATTGACCAGGAACGATCAAGATACAATGAAGCTGAGGGCACTGCGACGTAGTACCAGCCTCAGTTTCAGCCTCCAAGGCAGTACTGAAAAGTTAGTGGTAGTGCTGTGCTCAAAGTGTGAATTCTGTTGTGTTTTGAAGTCTTAATGTTCAACATCAGTGTTCACCGCACCGAGAGATTAGTCTAAAATATTTAACCTCCCAGCTATGTAGGCTATTCAGTGATCAGAAGAATGTCTCATTCACACTCCAGACGCGTGTACATGTTTGTCAACAGACGCGTGTACATGTTTGTCAACAGACGCGTGTACATGTTTGTCAACATATAACAAATTCTGCATTGCATTTCTTTATAAGCGTTATACACACTCCTGTCCTTACGGTAGATAAGAAGAATGTCTTATGGACTCTTCACACGTGCACACATACACGTATCAAAAAGTAAACAATAAATAAAATTCATTTCTTACGTATACTTATGCTGTACATGCAACTGTTTACAGCGGCAATATTTTCTTCAACCGTTCATACCTACAGTATACATAAGTATGTATAAATATTCGTGCTCATGTATTTCCCTATGGGGTTCCATTGTGTAATTTACTCGTACAAGTAATCAGTCGCTCTGACACATCCTCTGTACTGTATATATTTTATCATTAATCATTTGATTTGTGGAAACATCTATATGCATTAGCACTTCGATTCAAGTAGTAAATGAAGAGGATCTCATAAACTGCACCAATGCAAATGCTATATAAACTTATAGATGGCGATTTTGCTTGTATGAATTTGTACATTATAAGCATTATTTTTTACCTTACAGTAAAAAACGTAGAAATTTCGCAGCCATTGCTCAGGTGCATGTTAGTGGAATTTTTATGTTTGGGTAATTTTGAAGAAATACACTGCCATAAAGAATTGTTAGTTAATATTCGGGATTGACCATACATGGAACTCGATAGTATTAATTTGTACTGTACAGTCAGCCAAAGATGCAACGCACCGACTCCACCTTGGGTCTCGTGCTCGCTATTTTACCTGGCAATACTTGGTAGAGGAAGGTTGTATGTAAAGGTGATTGGTGGATCTGGTTTCGGTTGTATCACTGTCAGGACAAATATTAAATAAACCAAAGGTATAAATTTTATAATAATAAACTATTCAGTGTTATTTAAGGTCATGAGAAATTTTCAATTTTTCGTATATTTGCTTAAATAATGAAGAAAATTACTGTATATTAATGAGTTGGCAATTCAACTACAACCACAGCTGCCACAAGATTCTCAAATCAAATTTTCTTCATTATTTGAACAAATATATAAGAACATTTGGAAACTTCTCATGACCTTAAATAACAATGAATAGTTTATTATTATAAAAAAAATTGCCTTTGGTTTGTTTAATATTTGTCCTGACAGTGATAAAGCCGAAAACAGATCCACCAATCACCTTTACATACAACCTTCCTTTATCAACGGTCCTACTAATTACCCAAATGTACCCAAATATAGCCGCAATGAAGTCAAATAATGGTCCTACATGAATAAATTGGACTGCTTACCACTTCTCGACTAGTATTTGGTGTCAGAAAGTCACAAAAAATTGGAAAACTTACTTTAATCTGAGTTGGGTTAGGTTAGGTTAGGTTAGATTAGATTAGATTAGATTAGATTAGGTACATGCACTTGATCTATTAACTCAGATTAAATTAAGTTTACCAATTTTTTGTGACTTCGCGACACCAAATACTGGTCGAGGTTAGGTTAGGTACATGCACTCGATCTATTAACTCAGATTAAATTAAGTTTACCAATTTTTTGTGACTTTGTGACACCAAATACTAGTCGAGAAGTGATTGGCAGTCCGATTTATTCATCTAGGACCATTATTTGACTTCATTCCAGCTACATTTGGGTACATTTGGGTAATTAGTTGGACCCATTTATCAAGTATTGCCAGGTAGAATTGCGAGCACGTGACCCAGGGTGGGGTCGGTGCATCTATGGCTGACCGTACATGGGGAAATATAGCAAAAAATATATATATTTTTCAAGTTTTTCAAAATTTTCGATTTCAGGTTTGGTTCTCTTGCCCCCCCACTTTTTGCCATGTTGGGTTAAGTTATGTTTACAAACTTGGGAGTCAGGGGGATAGAAGATTAGGTGGACAATTTGTAGTAGTGAACCGTTCTTTCTTTGGGTATTAGAAATACAGTATGTGTAAAAAAAAACATAGAAAATCACCAAAAAACAACCAAACCTAACCCAACCCAACCTAACCTAACCTAATCAGGGGGGCTCCGCCCCCTAATTAGACTATGTTAGATAGAACGGTGCACTATTATAAAATGACTGATTAGGTCAGGTCTTTCTGGTTTCTTTCTTTTGGATACGTTAGATATATTTTTGTTTGACAAAAAATTATTTTCTCCACCATTTTTAGGATACTCTTGATAAACCGAAGAACTTCTCTTTTATTGAAAAGCTCTAAACTCTGCTCCTTAATCCTGTCACTTGTTCTTATATGTAAAACTTTAAAGTTTTTTTCTAATAGGGTAGGTTAGATTATGTTTTATCATTTTTGTTTTGTTTTTATTTTTGCGTGTTTTAGCCCTACAATTTCTCCCTATTTTAAAGCCCTACCCACTGGGTAATCAAATTTCATTTTTTAAATGAAATTTAAATAATTAATCGAAAATATGAATTTCCAAATAAAACGATATAGAAAGTACAGTAGTATTCTTATTGCTTTATTTTACTCTCTCTAAATACAAATCAATACTGTACAGTACAGTAACCCCTCCGTTAACGAACTCAATCCGTTCCAGAAGGTCGTTCGTTAACCGAAAAGTTCGTTAACCGAAACCATTGTTTCAATGGGTTTTTGGGTAATTGGTTCCAGCTCACCGAAAATTTCCTAAATTCAACAAAAATGGTAGAAAAGTTCACTTACTTTGAGGTGAGTATGTAGAAGGCTCCTGGATGATGATGATGATGATGATGATGGGATTTAGAATGGGGGTGGAGGAGAAAGGAGAAGAGAAGGCATTGGGGTGGAAGAGAAGTCACCCCATGGCACCATTTCACCCGTAAAATTTTAGCTCTCTTGGTGTAATTCAAGATTATTTTCTTTAAATCAACACTGCACTGCATTATATATTGTCAATATGTAAAATATATTTTAAAATGACCAATAATTTGCTTGGAAACACAGAAAAAAAGCGTTTAGTTGAAGAGAGTCTCAAGCAAGATGTTACCTCCAGTGAAAACAGAGAGACTAACTCCTGTTTGCTGTGTTAAGAGGCTGCATGCTGCACATTAAACTAGTCACTTTACCTTCAATTATGTTCAATAATTGTTAAAATGACTACAAAATTTAATATTAAACTTTTAAAATTATTGAATAGTATAAACTTCTTGATATTTACTAAAATAGTAAGGAATTTAAGCCCTAGAACCAATTAATGTATTGGCGGACTGATACTAAAGCTGGTTGCCCGGTCAGTGCAAGCGAAAACATGTTGAGGTCGGTTCGTAAGAACTTCGTTAACCGAATTTTTTTTCGTTAACCGAATTGAAGATCCTTATGGAAGGCAGTTCGTTAATCGAAATTACGTTAACCGAGGTGTTCGTTAAACGAGGGGTCACTGTATTAGTAGTGACCACAGTATTGGTAGTGTGTGAGGCAATGATATATTAAATGATAAGCAAAAAACAATCAGCTTGCAATTGTAGTTAAATTTAATATATATATATATATATATATATATATATATATATATATATATATATATATATATATATATATATATATATATATATATATATATATATATATATATATATATATATATATATATACATACATACATACATATATACATATACATATATATATATATATATATATATATATATATATATATATATATATATATATATATATATATATATATATATATATATATATATCTGAGTACAGATCTGACTGCTTAAATCAGCATATGTATACAGTGATTTACTTGTATATATATATATATATATATATATATATATATATATATATATATATATATATATATATATATATATATATATATATATATATATATATATTATAGATGATACAAGATTACTTTACACCATATGTACACACCGCAAAAAAATTATTCGGCACCCTTACGGCATGACACAATATGACACGGCTGCCGAATAATTTTTAGCGGGTATAGAGTACTGTAACATTAATACTCGGTAGGTTAAAATACATCTTGATTTTTTTTTACTTTTTAAACTTTTTGTTATCTAAGGTAAATTTGGGAACATTTTCAACCATTCTTTATTATTTGTTATACACTACTGTACTGTATACAGACTATAGAAAATTCACGTATTTCAGTTGATTGATTTAATGGTAAAAAAATATGGTCGTTGGGTGTGGATGTAGCTTCTGTTTGCTTTTTTCAGATCTTTAATGAACAAAAATTGCCCTTTTCATTTACTGTCAACATTTTCCAACCAGCAATTCTCATATATTTCCTGGTACTGTATCTAAGTTTTGTGCTTTTTGAAAAAAAAAAATTTTAATTTTCTAAACAGATGTTATCATTAGCTGCATACTTAAGTTGATCTCAGAAATAGTAACATAGCTAATGTTTTTGAGTAAAAAAAGAAATATGATCTTTGGTACATTGCAAAAAGGGGGCTTTAATGTTTTGTTGGAACAGATGCAAAAGGGAGTTCAGTCATAATTTTCTACTCTAGTGTACAGTATATTGGTTTATCATAAATTTATATTTATAAGCAATTTTTTTTTTTTTCATACTGTAATTACACAATACAGCACTTTTCTAAACAGATGCACCCAAATAAATTCTTAGTAAAGTACTTTTGATATTATATTTGTGCTGCCTGGAAAGTCTTTCTAAACAGTTACACCAAAGAAAAATTCTTAATTAAGCAAATTATTAATAAATATATTTGTGCAGCCTGGAGAACTTCAAACAACGTCTGTTGCGAAAGAGAGAACAGTGGCGAGAAAGACGGCAGTCCAGCAAAAGCCTAAAGGATGCCGCACGTAAGGATTCCAAGGAAGACCAGTCGAAGGAATCTGCCAAACCTGCAGAGGAAAGTAAGTAGGAGTGATGACCTGTGTATACTGTCAGGTGGTGGGTGATGTATAACTACAGTACATTACAGTACAGGGTACATTACAGTACAGTATACCATAAAGATTTTCACAAATATATATTTTGTTTTCGGAATACTATATTACATCACAGTACAGCACAGTATAATATACAGTTTTGTATATATAGATTGTACCAGTCAAAATATATACAAGTGTATAATATTCAAAAGATTTTATTAAATCGGCAGCCATATATACTGTATATTTATGATAACACTGCCTCTTTTTACAGATCCTCCCTCTACACCAGACAATAAATTGTATAGATGGTTTTCTTTACGCAAGAGCGTCAACTATGACGTTGAGCGACGTAGTAATACCATTGCTAACACTGAGCGCACCAGCTCCTACACCACCACCAACAATGGAACCAATGCCACTAGCAACAACAGGATGCCAAAGCTTTTGGAGGAGGCAGACTCTGAACATGGAGGGCTATTTTCTGAGAACGGGGGGGTGTTTGCACACACTTTTCAGCGCAGACACCAACCCCCTGCCCTACCACCCATGCCACAAAGCCTCAGTCCAGAACAGATCAAAAGGCGACATATTGTTGCATCTATAGTTCATAGTGAAAACAATTATGTAGCAACCCTACAGAGACTAGTCAATGTAAGTGTGCAATTTATTTATTTAGAATATTCATACTTGAAATAATCAGTTTTTATTGGTAGTAAATTTTACAGGGTAGTTTCTTTATTGGTCAGGTCACTATTACAGTACTGTATACTACTGTATGTCTTAATCTTTATGAGGAGTATAGCATATAATTCTTTATAGTTCATGAGATACTGTACATTATAGTATTAGTTTTTATGGAGCATTATTTATTGGTCTCCTGTTTTTCCTCATTAAGTGAAGGTAAGAAAAAAAGGGATTTGTTTCTCTTTAAGAAGCCGGCCACACATGAAAGCTGCTCTAGAGTATTTCTGTTTTTCAAGCTTCATATTAAAATTGCATCATTTTAATCATGTACAGGACAGTGTATGTTAGATATGATTTCACATCACTTGTTCTCATTGTTATATCTTTCACAGCAAACCTTACTAACTCTGGTACAGTATGAATACAGTACTGTATATGTCGCTAATTCGCTTTTGTCATTAAAATTATATTATGGGACCGTATTATCATTGCCATTCTCCTTTTTCTTCATATAATCTCAGTTCTTTCTTTCATCTTTTACATCGTTGGCCTACATAACACTGTACATTATGTACTCTGATTTACTTTCCTCCATATTTTACTTATTCCTGTAGAAAAGAAGAAAAGATTTGGTCTTCAAGGCATTTTGTTTTTGTTTACCATTTTTATGTGCCCACTGAATGCTTAACAACGATTGCTTACATGTAATAAAATATAAGATGACTAAGAATTGTAAAAAAATTTCAGGACTACAAAAAACCTTTAGAAGACTCGAAACCTCCAGTCCTCAGCACAGCCAAGCTTTCTACATTGTTTCACAGATTATCAGAGATTCTTCAGTGCCACACACTATTCCGTATCGCCCTGGCTGAGTGTGTACGGCAATGGGATCGAGAGGAGAAGATAGGAGATGTATTTGTCGCTTCTTTTTCCAAGGCGATCGTCTTGGACATTTATAGCGACTTCATCAACAACTTTGCTCGTGCCATGGAAGTTGCAAAGCAAGAATCTAAAAAGAAATCTGCTTTTGCTGATTTCCTAAAGGTATTATATTTACATATATGAAAAGTCAAATTTACTCTTTACAATTATTATTATGACTTAATGAATGAAAGAGTAGAGCTTTGTCTCCAGATGTACCTTTTCAATTCATCAAAATGAATAACATAAATATATTGATTTTGATAGCCATGCAAAAGTTATTTTTATGAGAATTCACATGTTGTAGACTTGTGTAAATAGAATGAAACAAAAGGAAATAGGTAGTCAAAATTTTTTCAAGCAATTATACAATGATGTTATCTTACAGATGCGTCAGATCACCTCGCCTGATCGATTGTCATTCTTTGGACTTATGGTGAAGCCTGTCCAACGCTTCCCTCAGTTCATTCTCTTTCTCCAGGTAAAATATCAGGAGGAAAATCTATCTTTTTTTTCTTTTCCAAAAAGATTTACAGGGGCTGGTTCAGTTCACTTTTGCCTAATAGAATGAAGGAAGGCTATTGATGTTCAGAAAAAAAATTAAAAGTAAGTTTAGGGATTATGATACTGTACATATAGGATGGAAATGGGAAATCAGTCAATTGTTGTTTGCAGGTAGCACAGCTTTACCAGATGATTCATAAAAAAAAATACTAATGTTTGTAAATGAGTTTGGAGGAGAATGTAACTCGGAAAATTTCAATAAAGAATTTGAAAGCAAGAAGAGTGAAAATAAGTAGAGATGGGAGACCTGGAAAATTTAATGTTTAGCTACTTTGATGTTAAAATGCAGGAATTGAAACATGATATTTAGGAATGGATGTATCAGCATATAAAATAATGAACATGTCATGAGGTAGGCAGGTCAAGACTTAAAAGCTTTTTGTACTGTACCATGTCAAGTGAACTGCATTTAGTGTAACATGTTTGCCCCATAGGCTCTTATGATATGCAGGTACTGTACAGTACTGTACCTGGCCAATTAAGACATGTTCCAGGCCAAAAATAATTTGACTATAAAACTTAATCACAATGAAGTTTTCAGTAATGAATATACTATACATATAATAAAATTAAGTCAGTAGTAACCCACACCAGAGCCGAGTGAAGGGCAACTTATTGAGGCCCGGTAGCGAAACTACCAAATAAAAACAAACACAGTAAGTTGGTCTACCAGGTTACAGGCTAGCTGCGGAGCCTCATGCTGTGTTTACACAGCTGAGAAGAACAGAACGTTGTGAATCTTTTAAAAACTCGTGTTTTTCCAAGCTCCAGGCTACTTAATAGTGAATAATGAACTACTTTATATGAATATGTTCTCTAATTTAACAATGACAGTACATTGTAACAAAACTACAGTATGTTTAGTGATTGAAAAACAGAAAATTTAAGGATAAATAATTTGTTGTTAAGGGTCTTTCATTCAAAGGAAAGTTTCTTATATTGTACACGGATAATATTTGCATCTCTCCACCACCATGCAATAGGTAGTGAACACCATTTTTATAATGATATTAATTGTTTGTTCTCATACACAACAAGTCAGGAAAATCTGAATTATCACTTTTAGTTAAAAAAAATAATCCATTCATTTTTAGATAATCACAATTATTTATTGAACCAAGTACAGTACAACTTTGGAGATTTTTAGACTCATTGGCAAAAAAAGTAGATTTTCTTGCCAGGAATTATAGCAGTACAAAAGTGAAATACAGTATGTTAGCTTTGGTGACTTGTTAGGGTAGGCAAACTAAAGTTCTTTGCAAAAATTTCATATATTTTAACACTAACTATGAAAGATTTGATCATGTAGAATTGGCTAGAATCTAAATTTTTATCAGTAAAATGTTCAGTAACTTTTGATTCTCACTTTCAGGACCTCCTGAAACATACTCCTCAGGGGCACCATGACCGGATGTCACTACAGCTTGCTCTCACTCAACTAGAATCATTGGCAGAGATGCTGAATGAGAGAAAACGTGAGGCAGAACAATATCAGGCTTTCCGTGACACCCTCAAGCATATTAATACTAAGTTTGCCTTGCGAGGAATACAAGAAGGTAGCCGCTATTTACTACGACAAGATGATGTTCTTCAGCTGGTGAGTTAAAATATATATGGAAATTCTTTCTATTCTCATGCATTACATGTCAAACATGACTTTTGATAACTTTTGTTTGTAACATTTTTTATCTAAATACTGGTACCAGCATGAAATTGTTAATGATGCAAATTATAAACGATATACCTATACAATACTGTACAGGCCTGTCAATTTCAAAGAACAAATTCTTTATTGATAAGAAATATCAGTACAGATTAATTGGCGTTGGAGTAAGCTTTTGAATACAGGAATATAAAGTTTTCTTAAACTAACATCAGGTAAATGTCTGAAATAGGTTTAGGTGTCTTTCTGCAGTGACTTCATGTTGGGTTATTAGGTAACATGTTGTTGGTTTTAAGTTTAACAAGGAACATAGGCGATTGTCACGGCCAATTTCAGTTGAGATACTTTCAAGTCCTAAATCAGTCAATAGCTCATAAAAATTATAGCCTTTAAGAGTACTGTACAGTGCTGTGGAGAGTAAAGTTTTTAAAATTCTTTTATACAAGAATATTTATTAGATACATATTTATTCGTAAGTATTTAACCTATTTTTTTTTTTTATTGAGCAGTGTTCTAGTCCCCCAGATAGTTTTTCAGACCTGTCTTCATGAAGATGTAGATAAATCTGGTAAAATGTTATGGTACTGTACGTTGAATTTAATGTCCATATGGGTAAAGTTAAAATGAGCTCATTGCTAGGTCTTGAGATTCTGTTGTTACAGATGAAGCCTCAGGGTAATTTATATGTTGGCTAAATATTTTATTTCTAACAGGAGTTCAACCAAAGTGGCCTGATTAGTAAGAGCAAAGGACGCAGGCTGTTCCTCACCAATGATCTGATCATCTGTGTGACAGTGGTGCCAAAGACAACTGATGATTACGGTCATCAGAATGAGCGACTCTCTCTCAAGTGGGCCTATCCTGTCACGGATGTTGAGGTAACACGACCAGACTTTAAAATCATATGGAAAATGTTTGCATCCAAAGCAAATCATATATCCTTCATTGGTATGTTTGATCTTTTTAATTATGTATATACAGTACAGTGCAGAGTACAATTTAGAAAACATTTTATTGTCTTTTGATAACTGTATAGTAATATAAGATGATTTGTGTTCTCACAATGCAGATAATTTTATGATAACTTTCAGATTCAAGACACAAGTTCTTCTCCAACTTTGAGTCGGTTATTGGCCTCGGGAGTCAACAAAACAGGGTCCATTAACTCAGCTCGTATCCCAGAGGAAACTATGGGTTCCAACGTAGACAACTTGTGCCAAGAGATGAATGATCTTATGCATGATTATGAAGTGGTGTCCCGAATCTCAACCCTTGTGTCATCACTCAGGGGGACTTATGATGTGAGTTTTCTGTTATTGCATACCTTTGTCTGTACCTAATTTGTAGTCTCTTAGTTCTGAGGAATACTGTAAAGCTCTACTACTTTCTTTGTACAGGGTCATTCCTCAGTTCAATTATTTTCTCTGTATGTCAAACATTTATGGGCTTTATGCCATTCACACTGGGGATGCAAATCCTTCTCCAAAGATTTCCATTGTTGTCCATATTCATACTTTAAATATAAACTAAATACAGTACTGTATAATATTAAATAAAAAACAATGGAATACTGTATTTTAACTTACTTTGAGGTGTGTATGTCGTATTCCCGGCAGCTTTGTTTACATGTCACACAGCTGATTGTAGAGGCAGTCGATGATGACATGCCATATTCTTTACAGAGTGCATTGGTTCTAATGCCTTCTTCATGTTTCATAATGATTTCTGCACTGTATATTATCAATATGTTAACTAAATTTCAGAATGACCAATAATTTTAATATAAAAAATGCAGAAATATTCAAGAGACCAACTTTCTTGATATTTACTCCACTGGAAACGAATGTAAACATAGAACCAATTACTGTATTGGCGGACTAGCCAATCAGCTGATGCGCACAACAAAACGTGTTTGTCGTAAGGATTTCTTTAATCGAACTGAAAATCCTTATGGGAGCTAATTCGTTAATCGAACTGTTCGTTAACCGAGGGACCACTGTATAGTATTTAGAAAAACAGTAATTTAGAAGCACAGAGTGGATTAATTTAATTTGTAGCAGGAAGAAATGTAGGGAAGATCTATTGTTGGCCTCTTGTGGGAGAAACTTTCCTCTCAATGTATGATTTTTTCCTGGGTCTCTTATCTATTAATATTACTGTACTCTAGTTTACAGGAAAAAAATTATTAGGAAAAGCAGTAAGTTATCAATAAAGCTGCATTAGAAAAAAAGTTAGAGCTTGTCTAAAATATATATAACTAAGATGAAATAAAAAAAATGCTCATGTATAATAAGAGAACATGGCTTTTTGTGAATTAGGGGAATGTCACAACAGTTAGAGTGAATCAATAACGGTGGATAGTGTGTGTGTGTGTCTGATGGATTGGTCATCCTGCAGCATAGTGGGAAAAGGTTTACAAGATTGAGAAGAAAATTAATGATGTAATAAGTAAAAATTTATTTGATCAGTTAAAACATATAGATACTGTACATAGGCCATACATGAATTATTTATGTCAGATATAATGACATAGCATACATTCTTTATAGTACATCTCACATTTTTTGTGGGATAGCTCTCAGGTAGCAAGCTTACATCTGGGGTTTTGAAAGAAATGAGTGACCAGCTGTAGTACTATCAGTGAAAATCATGGATGGAGAAGTTTTAGCATGAATAGTTCATTTGTATTATAGAAAAAGGAATGTAGTGCATTATATGAATTGATTAAAAAGGGATTAAACAATTTCAATATTTTTTATCAGGGTCTGACAGCAGAACACCTACAGCAAGTTTCAAACAACATCCAGAGAGCTTTACACATTCGAGATGAGCAGATGGCATGGGTAGATGCTTGCTGTTTGCAATTCACAGCTAAGAGCAAGGAAGGCCGAGAAAAGGAGACATTTACTTTCCAGACCAACAATCCTGTTATCAAGAAGGACTGGATTGTAGGTAAGTTCATACAATAAGTACCTGTATATATGCAGGTGAGAGCCTTGGATAAACTCTTTTTTTTATGCTCTTTTATTGGCCAGTAAGGTAGAAGTGAAAGTTATGAGAAGGCATCATACTTATTGGTTCAAGGTAACGACTGCCTTACCATACATTGTTAACCATAAAAAATTCTTTGGCACCCTAGGAATAATCTTATTAATGCCATTAATTGTTTGGATTATTTTCATGGCCTTCTTTAAAGCACTAACATTCACTCTACTTCAGTACACTGACATAGTGAATCATTGGCTTCAATACTCACAAGTATATTTTATTGATAGTTTCTGATGGAAATGTTATGCAATGAAGAATCTTGCAATGAAAATTGAGCTTGGCCTGTTCCTCTTTATTTCTTATTGTAATATTTTTGTTGTTGCAGCATTTGTCTCTGAATTTAAGAATAGGAGGATGATTGTACGGACAATTTTATTCCCTCACATCAGCTGAACAAGAGATATAGAGAAATCCAATTGTGATAATTATTTAGTGGTAATGATAAGTAGGAACCTAAAACCAAGTCAGCAATGTGTTTATGATCAAAACAAGGCGAACAAATTACTAGGGTTCATATCTAGGAGCATTAGAAACAGGACTAGCAAGGTTATCCTTAACCTACAGTACTGTATATCTCATGAGACTTCACTTGGATTATGCTGTTCACTTTAGGTCATAGTACTATGGATGGATATCACTTCCCAAGAAAGCATTCAGAGGGAGATGATAAAGCTAATCCCTGGCATTAAGAACCTTGAGTATGGTGGCAGACTTAAAAATCTAAATTTGTATTCTCTTGAGAGACGTAAAGTGAGGAACGATATTATCAAATTGTATAAATGGAAATTAGGGTTAAATAAAGGTGATATAACTAAGATACTTAAACTATCAAACGTGGAGCGAACGCATAGCTATGTTTTAAATTAGACAAATTTAGATTTAGGTGTGAAATAGGTAAACTTTGGTTTGGAAGTAGAGTTGTGGATGAGTGGAAGAAATTAACAAATACTTGTAAAATTAACTTAGAACATACTATGAAACTTCAGATATAAGTTAGACAGATACTGTATACAGATATTAGTGATAAGGGTTGGGTGTAAACAGGACTAATCAGTATGGGCCAATAGGTCCACTGCAGTTTCCATCATTCTTAATTTCTTGTAACAGAAAGGATCATGAATTGTTTCAACTTAAAATAAATATTTATACCTTTATTAATTTACAAAAGCATATTTCTCAGTATTGCTGTACAGTACAATATATGATTATTTGCAGTTGTAAGTTGATTTCAACCAATGTTGCCATGTTAATATTAATTCCAGCATTTGGGAAGGGTTTTTTTTTTGTTTATCTATATTGAAGGGATATTAATACTGTACAGTCTCGTTCAAGATTCTTCGAACATTGCTGGAGACAGCTGGCAACTCAAGGCTGTTTGTTTACTATAGTACATAGTAAAAATTATGATTGAATATAAAAGGTTATCGGTGATTTGTTACTTAATTCCCTGTTGCTTAATTATTGGTTGGGCTTTGTTGTTTTGTATTATATTATACTACGTTTTATAGTAAACAAACGGCCTTGAGTTGCCAGCTGTCTCCAGAAGTGCTCAAAGAATCTTTCACAAGACTGTACTTGCTGTGGTTTACCTGATGTTAGAAATACAGTGATTTATACATATTGGTTGAGTTTAAGGAATAAAGAAGTGGAGGGGCACACTAGATAATATTAAACATGTCCTTGACAAAATTAACACTGAAATAAAGTAACCTTTTATATACTGTATACATACAGTCTCTCCTAGACTTATGACATATTGGCTTGCGACAACCCGACATACGACAGCCATGGTCTTATAAAATATTTTTCACATTACGTATTTTCGAGTCCCGACATTTGGTCATAATGTGACACCGTACAATAGCTTGGGCTGGGCCGCCTCGTGGTGTACTGCATCCACCTCGTAGCCCGCTCAGTTGGTGTTTGGCCGTCGTTGTTGTTAGTGATCGCGCTGTGTACTGACAAAATTTTCGTTTGTAATTCCCTTTAAAATGGCTGGCAAGCGTAAAAGTGAGAGTTCTCGTGGTGCTGAGAAGAATAAAAGACAGTCAATTACTGTACTGTATTTCCTTTTAGAATTTCTATGTATTATTTTTGCATTTTCGACTTAAGACCTGGTCGTCGGGACGGAACCCCGTCGTAAGTCGAGGAGAGACTGTATTAGCTGGGGTACCTGACATTGTCAGGATCTGTTTTTTACACAATAAATTTAAACAGAATGAGTGTAGCCACATATTCTGTGTCTTTCCTTGGCCAAAATCAAATGCACGTGCAAAAAATAAAAATATCAATGCTAAATTTCTGCTTTCTGTGTTAAAAACTGTGATCGTACACAGGAGGACCCTCTTTTAGATAGGGGTCAACCTCCCATAGTTAGACATTCATGAGCATTCTTGAAGCTGTTCACATAAACATACTAAATATCTTAAGAATGGTGGCCATGCTCTCAATGTTTAAAACTGTAGCTATGCATAACAAATAACATCACTAACAAACAAACCTGACACTGTATATTTGATTTATACATTGGTTGCAGTAGGAAAAAGTTATTTTGAATGTGATCAAATAATGGTTAATTACTTTTGCCAACAGAACTTCGTTTAGCACAGCTGGCTCTTGACAGCTCTAATTCTCCTGCATGGGATGTACCAGAGCAAGAAAAGCGACCATCAACTAAAATGCCACTATTTGTCAAGTCTCTTCCAGTCTTTTCCTCTCCTCATGATACAGAGGTAAGTTCCTAAAATACTTCATGATTAAAAATTAGCCTTCCTTTATTGTGGATTATTTTAAATGTGTACAGGCATCCCCCGTTTAATGATGAGGTTGCGGAGAATTGGTTTTCTGGGAATTTTTACACTGGCAGGGGTGTTAAAGTAGAGGGATCCTGCAGGCCACACATCATCTCCCATGGTTATAAGTTATGATTTTGTACTTAACTCCAACTTTTTTAGTTGGATTTGGACTTGGGTTAATGAAAATGTTGATGGACTTGGTTCAGTTTTTTTTTTTTTTAAAGAGTTTCATTACTTAAATTAATGAACTGTACTTAATTAATTACTTATAGTGAATAGAAAAACCTTGGGTAGTACTGATGTTAAAGGAATTACCTCAATAGGAATTTTTGGAGAGGATACATAAAATATTACAATCAAATTTTCACACATCATCCCTGATCATCAACATGCACATCTTGAGTATTGGGAATCCAAAATGTTTGGTCATGGAGTTTCTGTATCAGGGCTTTGGAGAATGTACAGTACACTTTTTCTTTGATGCAAAGCTTTTATGTTTTGTACTACTGCACTCTGTACAGTACCATCACTTTGTTTTGAGACATTTAAGGACAGTAAACCCGGTCATTAGTGGACAATGTTCCCTTTACCAGATAATTACCAATAGAGTTCACTAATTATACTGGACAAAGAGATGTCCCTTATTGGGATTATCCCATATTGAGAGGGTTTACTGTATCCTATATAACCTGTCAACATATTTTTTCACTGTTTCAATATTATTTTATCCATTCTCACCATTATTTATACAGTACAGTACAGGAACATTTCTAGTGATAGTTGTAAATTGATGCTAAAACTTTTTCTCAGGTTAAATGTGGGTGCTGCTACACTGTGACAATGTCCCGGCCCAGCAGGTTGTCAGGAACAGGTCGGCATCACACATACCTATGGTTATGTTCCACAGATGGGGTCTCATCACACATCACCATTTACCTCATGCAACAGGTAAGGCAGTTTATATTTCACAGAGGTGGTTTTTATTTTTCCTTCAGATATTCCATTTTACAGAGGAAAACACCCATTACAGTATATACCAACCACTTGACAATTGAATCATGGTCCTTTAATGACCCAGCCTTGGTGTGTCATTTAATAAAATTATTGTGTTTTATCCCATTTATTTGTACATTTCTCTTTTTTTTCTTTCTTTCTTTTTTTAAATAACCCCTTGAATGACATCACTTACTCCTTTGATAGTTGTGTGAATACCCTAAACTTCCTAAAGCAACATTGCATAGTACAGTATACTGTATTGTTAAAATCATAACCAGTCACAAGTAACATCAACAGGTGAAAAAATTCAGTTTTGATTCTTGGTACTGTATAGATTCACTCCTTTATAACCTACTTGTAAAATTAAAACCATATTGATTTTACTATAGGTTGGCCTCAGAGAGGTTGTGCGTGTAGACATGGTTGAAGTGTGCGTGACATCGCTGCAACATGTCCCTGGCATCACAACTACAGATGAGCCATCACTGCGAGCTCACACTGTATGGATGGGCACACACTCACACAGGTACAGCACCTCTTGTTTATTATTGTAGAATTAATCAGTTATACTCAGAGCATGATTTTCTCTCTCTTCAATTATGGTGGCTGGAAGCAAGATCAAAGACAGATTCTTCATCATTCACTTGCAGTCCATTGTTCTTTCATACTATTGTACTGTACTACTGTGATAGATTCTCTCACAAGGCCCCCAGATATATCGACAATTTCATATTTTCCCCATATGTTTGCGGTACTTCCCACATAGCTCTTCTGTATCTTCTATCATATGCTTTTTCCAGATTCATAAATGGCAGATGCAGATCCTATGCCATCTCTGGAAACATTTTCCCTTGTGCTTTCTTAGGCAAACATTTGATCTACACCTCGTCATCCTTTTCTGAACCCACACCGCTTTTACTGTAATACAGTTCTTTTAATTCTCTAAATATTAACTGCCATACACTTTCCATTGTCTAGTTAATTCTTATTTTTCTTTAATTTTTTTGCATTCATTGATTTTAAGTTTCCCTCTATACAGCAGAACTGTACATGCTCTCTGTACTATTGGAAATAAAGTGTATAATGTGTTCAATATTTATGTATATACAGTAACAGTATAATAGATACTGTATATGATATAACAAGCAAGTCATTATCTTGTTTATATCTTTTATATTTACAATAGATACGGCAGTGTCTTATACATTCAGTCTTCATCTTTGAGTGACCTAAATGGTTGTTTTCTTGTGTTTGTCTGGCAGGTTAATGGTGTACAGCGGGCTGGACCCAGAACGCCAAACTGAACTTGGCTCAACAACTGTACCAGCTGCCATCACTACCATCAAGTACCACTGTGATCAGGTAGGTAATGGTGTAGAGTGGAGTGCTGCTTTCAGGAATTAAAAGGGTAATTTTTCACAGAGATGATTAGGAATTATAATTTATAAATGTGGGTTTGCTGTTTATGGTTAAAAGAGAGTTATTGTGGTAGGTAGATATGTGAGACTTCTATATGTAGACATTAAAGGTGTTTGTGGAGTTCTGTTATGTCTGTACACCAGACCCCAAGCTTTGGAGAAAAATGGTTAGGGTGGAAATAATTTGGGCAAGGGGCAATGTGCTCACTGTTGGTAAACATTGCGCGTGCCATAGGTACATGCATTTTCCTGCAATCTGAGGCATTGATTTCTTGTGTATGAGGTCCCCTCTGAGCTGAATAAAATGTTTCACGTTACTCAAATTAAAATTAAAGGTGGCCTCTCCATAGTAAAAGGTTTAGTGGAGATAGTCTACTAACCTATTGTGTACAGGGTCCCCTCTGAGTTGAATAAAATTGTTTGGTGTTAGCCAAATCAACTATTAAAAGTGTCGTCCCCATAGTGAAGGCGTTAACGAGATTAAATGTAACATTTTCCTCTTGATCTTTCTTAAAATAGATAAAACAAAAGTTTTCATTGCTAACAAATAGCCTTAGTGTGGTTATCAGCTGATTATCTGTTCTAAACAACACCGACAAACAGATGCATGTAGGCACCACTTGAGTGGTCCATGTGATGACACTAATTACTGTAGTACAGTCAAGGGGTGTCTTTTGACATTAAAAGAGTGTCAGTAATAATTGCAAAGTAGAGGTAAAGAGGATGTATAATTTTTAATTTGAGAAATGGCTCAAATGCTTAAAAATAATATGCTGTGTTTTTAATTTCAAAATGGTAATAATTTTTAAAGTGAAGTTTGCCATATATGAACACCTTGAAGGCAGCTTGGTGCATACATGTGTTATGTAATTAATCACATGTCTACTACGGTACTGTAATTCTTATGCAAAATTTTAGTTAAATGTTTAATTGTTCTCCACTTTATTAGTTAAAAAAAATTGTCTTCTCCATTCAAGATTAAAAAGTAGAATAATGGAAAGACGAGATACAGAATTATATTTTATTTGGTTCAAACGGTTGTTGTTTAACTATCAGCAAGGAGGTCATGAGTAGATGTAAGACTTAAGTGTTTAGGAAATAGGATAAAGATTCTAAAAAGGCTTTATTGTTATCATTGCCTTTACTGTAGTACTTGTTTTTTGTTTTATTGCATTTTTATATTATTTTTATAAGTTTTGTACTGTACCTCATGAGAACAAACCTCTGTGTTACAGGTATATGTAGGTCTTTGTAATGGGTGTGTCCAGGTGTACCGCCGTGGTGCTGATGGTGCCTGGCAACTACGTGAACCTCTCAACATAATCCTGGGCTCACAGGCCGTCTCAGCACTCCTCCCCATCAACACTCATGTCTATGCTGCTTGTGGGGACCATGTACATGTTATTGATTGCTTTACAGCAGAAGTTACTGTAAGTAAATACTGTACCAGTTTTTGTTTTGTTTTCCCCAGTCATGCAACACCCCTCTGGTAGCACTGCAGGGTGGTTGTGGCGCAAAGTATCACTCTCTTTGCTTGCTAAATTTTATCACTTACTGCTGCAGCATTCTCCAAAACCACTCATATTCATTCTCATAATCTGCTTCCTCCTAAATGTCCAACACTCACACTTTGTTGCATCCAGTATCCTATCCTTCCATATCCTTGGTTTGTCCCTCTTCCAACCATCCATCTCTGAATTATACACTCTAACAAACTTTTATACCTCTATCCCATTCTCTTAACATATACAGACCACCATAACAAACTCTAATCTGCTCTGTATCTTACACTCATTGCTACATCTCTTAATTTCTGTGTTTCTTATTCTCAATATACTATTCATCCAACATATTATTCTTTAGCTAATACTGGTAATTTGGTTCATCTTTAATGAATTCAGAAAGTGGATTCTTAGAGTAAAGGGGGAAAAGAAGGGAGACCAAGAGATTATAGGGAAGAGGTGAAATTAGCCATTTCTTTTACCTCAGCTCTTGCATCCCACAATTATTACTTACCGTATGTGCCTACAGTTACTCTGTAGTCACCAAGTCCTAACATGCCATACATTCATAAAAGAACAGACCTGTAAGGGAATATGATTAAGAAAATGTGGTGTATGCATTTGTGTAAGTGTTTCAGTAAAATGCAACAGTATCATTTGTAATACAGTACTTTATTTCAAGGCTTCTAGTAAAAATAGTAATTTTTTATGAAGATAGAACTACTCTTTATTAGAAAGGTTAACTAGAATTGCCAGGCTACTGTACAGTTCGGTGGTTCAGATATAGAAAAAAATATTTTGAAACATTATTATGGATATTTTTCTTGTTCAGTGTCATCTTAGAGAATGTATGTGTGTCAAGTTCCACTAGGAGTCATCAAATCTCCAACTATCCCAACCAAGTCAAATGCCACTACTGTACTTGTTACTGTCTTATATATGCACAAATAAACTGTAAACATTAAAGTTTTGGTTTACAATACTGTACTGTATATGATACTGTACCACAGAGACATGCTGGAATAGGTGTGACTGTGCATTCATTTATTTATGTCCATCCATCCATCTGTCAAAACTGGCATATTATGAACATGATAATTAAGAAAAACAGAATTGGATTTTCCTTGAACTTGGTACAATATGTGGAATAAAAGATACTGTAGCTATGAGATTATTTAAGGAATACGTATAAATTTTTCCTCTGTTCTGGAGAGTTGGGGACTATTTTGTCCTTATGGTAATCGGGGACCCTAGACATATGGTCACCTTGTTGCATTTAACATATTCATTGAGACTGAGCTGTGGCGGTATATAAAAATATGGAAGATATTACAATGTTTGGTTAATGTACATTTTACTGTAGATAATCTTAAAATTCATTTGGGTCATACGTACTTCACAAAACAAATTGATACTGTATATTTAAAGCTTTCCATATTAACTCAGACATTGAACACAGTGAAATTTTGGTCTCAAAACTTTTTATTAATACTATGCTGTATAGAGAAAGCTAACATGTGTAAGAGACCTCAATACAGTACGTACTGTACATGGTGACCCACATTGGATAAGTGGAGATTTAATTATTTCTTTAAAAGCTTTGCTTATCTTTTTTTTTTCATGGAAAAATATTGATATCCTGGATCAAGCTCAAGGGGTGCTTTGTATGTGCTGTGCTGGTATACATTCTTTCACATATACACCACTAACAAATATAAGAAGAAATTTTCATTATACGCCTGTTATATCACAAATACGCCATCCGTGGTTTTATACTGAGTCTGTATGTACCCAAATATTATGTATAAATAACTTTAAAATCTTCTAATATAATGTAGAAATAACCAGAATAAGTAATTTAGGTGACCTAAAAATACAATTTTTTTTTGCACTTTAGAATTCATCAGTCACCTCTGACACGACTGTGTGCCAGTGCCTTTGTTATATGTAAACTATAGAATTTGCAGAAAGGTAATTTCATTGTGCTAGTGTGCATTTTTTCTCAGCCCTTCTCAATTATAGCTGATTGGCGGTTTCAAACCTGTCCGATTTCGTCCTGAAGTAATGAGGTATTTCTAAATGAGTTTCTTCATAATCGTTGGGATGACCGTTTCTGACGAGAAAGATATTTAGCTAAATTATATAAAGATACAGGCATTCATTATTTCAAACATAAGTACGTAGGAAGTTTATCAGAAGTATTATACATGAATTAATTGTTAAACTCTGGTAGCAAATCACGCTTTCGGAGGTTGCATTTAATATACTGTACACCTGTTTTTACCAACAATAAGGCATACTAAGACAAATTACATATCAGTAGTACTACATTATACAAAATCTAACATTTTAAAAGATTTGAATCACACTGAAATATTTACAGGGCCGTCAGCAGAGGCGGGAAATGCGACTGTGAACAACTTCATATATACCGGGTACTTGAAATTACAAGTTGAAAAATAACATTAACACAGCTTGGCCTGGTAGGGGGAGAGCTATGGGGACAGTCTATCTTGGCAACATGCCAAGTCCACACACACATACACACCTATGCTCTTCATATTTCTTATCTTATAGCAACATATTTTTTTATATGTGGGTACACTCCATAAAATGCAATAAAATAACCCAATAACAAAAACAATACAAAAGAACACTTTGTGAATGAGTGTGTGTGCGTGCGTGCATGAGTGGCAGTATATTTGTGTGTACGATATTTTTAAGTGAGCCTAACCATTTATATTAACATTTGCCATTGCCATATGAAGAATTCTAGAATACTCAGTGTATTTTTCGATGCCACGGTTTGGGAGTACAGGTACAGGAGTGGGATGAATGTGTGAATGGTCCTATTGAACTTTATTAATGTCTAAGCTGTGAGGGTCAGTACATGCGAAAAAAAGACGCTCGTATGAAGCTGGCCTTACATCAGAAAATGAGAGCTGTGGCTAGCCCTCCCAGTTTGAAATATTACTGTAGGGTATCATAATTTTTATTTGCGAATAAGGGGGGTACGCCTTGCGATTAACGAATAAGGGTGTTAAAATATCAATTGCCAATAAGCAGGGTTGTGAATAGTGAGGTATTTCTGTACCCCTAATTACACTCATTCTCATGGGGAAAATTGTCTCCTCATAAAATGTTTCACTAAGTTGCTTTTCTCTATAACACATCCCCGATGTATAGTGAGGACCTCCTGTACCAGACATGGTAAATGGCTTCTTATATCTATAAATGTAAAAGTAAGAGGAGTTATGTAATGTGTGATGTACAGTACAGTACAGTATACTGTATTTTTTCTCTTTTTTTTTGAGAAGCCTAAAATAAGATTTATTTTGACTTTTGAAAGTGAAAGCATATTTCTGTGTTTTTTATTTATTTATTAATACAGTGGGGTATGCTATAACGAATCTAATTGGTTCTAAAACCTTGTTCGTTATAGCATTCGTTCGTTATAGGATTAATCCGTTCCAGGCCCCCAAATACAACCACTTAACACTGAAAAATATAATATTAAATTGTAAAAATTGTAAAAAAGTGCATAAATATGCATCTAAACCCTTGAAATAAAGAATATCATTAATACTTGTAATACAGAAACAATAAATTAGTAAAAAAAAAAAAAAAAAATTTATAATGTTCGTTGTAGGAGTTTCGTTCGTTATAGCATTATCAATTTTATAGGTAAAACCGTTCGTTATAGGATTATTCGTAGTAGGATCCGTTCGTTATAGCATACCCCACTGTAGATAGCTGCAATGCTTTAAGAAAATATATGCCCTGTATAATAATGTTGCTAAAATTCATTTTGTTTATTCGCAGAAGAAGTTCTCTGTTCATCATGACGGTGCTGGTGGAGTTCAACTAATGGCACACTCTGGCATTGGACTGTGGATTGCTCAGCAGAACACCTCAACAATCTGTCTTTATCACACCGAAACCTTCCGCCATTTACAAGATATTAATGTTGCTTCAAATGTTAATCGGGTGTTAGGTGAAAGAGGTATTGCTGCTTCCAGTGTTAATGTGACGGCACTGCTAGCCTCAAGAGGACTCTTGTGGGTGGGCACAAATGTAGGTGTTGCACTCACTATTCCATTGCCACGTCTGGAAGGTGTGCCAATAATCAGTGGACGTGCAAATATTAGCTATCATGCTCACAATGGACCGATAACCTTCCTTCTAACACTACAGCCGCATTCAAGACCTCAGGCCTCTCTTCCTGAGTTAAGACCTGGTTCTCGCCCTTCCTTACAAGATAACCATAGTCACTCACAGCAGCAAGAGAGTTCTCGAACTCATGGTTCAGATGACATCCGCAGTCTCATAGTCACACCAACTCCTATATCACGACTGGAAAAGCAGCAGAGTGATGGCAGTCTTGTACCACCAAAACGTGTACCTCCACGTTTGCGGCAGCAGTTGAGTTCACCTGTAATATTGCGGCGTAAACCAAGAGATACTCAGCAGCATATGCGACGCTTGTCTAAGACTTTGCCACGTGGTTTGGGTCTTGGAACTTTAGCAGGTAGTCAGGAATGTGATGTATATGGCCTCTATGGAGATCTGTTAAATGTTCATGAGTATGAAGATGAGCCTATGGTAATTGGTGAGGGCTTTTTATTGTCCCGTTATGATTCTATGCGCCGCAGTGACCCAGAACTGGCAGTTCCAGCTCAACTTAGCACTTTGGATCGTCGAGTGCGACTCAAAGCCTCACGCCCACGTTCCTTAGATCTTTCAACATGGTCCATGGACTCGAGAGCCTCCTCAGCCTGCACCACATCCTCAGGGTCTGAAGATGGCAGTGGTGGCATGAATAGTGTTATTACATCAAGTAATGCTTCCACAGGCCAACATGACTCTGTGCCTCTGATATCATCAACAAGTGGCGGCACCACAAGCCGATCAACTGTGTCTGGACGTCGCAAAGAAAATGACCAATCACGCACTCTGATGACACTGATGGGTGGACGTGGCTATGTCAACCTGAGGCAATTACAAGATGGCCAGCCTCCTCACACCAATGACAAAGATGCACACATTGTTGTGTGGGAGATGAAGCTTTAACCAATCTTCTGTAGACCTTTACTTCCTGTAACTTATTTATCTGACTCATTTTCCAATACTTTTTACAAACCCTGTGCAATTGTGATATGTCTAAGTTTTGTGCCCATACTTAGAATGAACCCTATATGTTACATATTTAGAAAAGTGAATATGTCTTGTTTGACTTATAAATGGTTTATGTCAAGCTTCCAGCACAACAAATTTGATGTCTGTGTATTATATAAACGCTTATGTCAAGGCTGCTTTATGAGAAGAAAATATCTATTTACAGTAACATTATATTACAGGATGTTCAAGTGTAAATATCAGATGACCTGCTATTTTAAATACATTATTTTGGTCAATACTGCAGACCTTGTTAACCTGCTATGAAAATATTGTATAAGTGTATGTAATAAAAGAATATTATTTTAACAGTGTTTTATTAAAGAATTTCAACACCAAGGTACTGTTCAGGACATTTCCATGTACTACAGTCACCTGCTGTCCTTGAACTGTAAATCCAAACAATTGAATTTTATAGATAGAAGGTAATAGGCAGCTATCAAACAGGGAGGTACTACCGCCTGGGAAGATATTGGAAGCATAATGGTAGACCCTGCTGCTATATGGCATCACGAAAATTGTGACCAAGTCCCAGGTTGCTGATCTGCCTTTCTGCCTTATTTACACACAATTGCAGGGTCTCAATTGTTTCTCTTACTTTGATAACACAACATACAATATATTGTTTCTCTTGATTTGTTTAATATTTTTCCATTTCTGTTTTTATTTTTGGTTCAATTACCCGGTAATTTTTTTACCATGATGTGGATCGGTGACCTGTGGGCTAATCCCCATAAAAAAAGTAGGTTAGATACTTATTTCTAGGAACAGTGTGTATGGGATGATGGGGTCCGGAGGGTTAGAGGTTGGGGGTGGTGGCGTGTAAGGCAGTAAGTTGTGTGCTACAGCTGTCATGGATTGCTGATGGAAGCGGTGATTATGATTTAGGAATATGGATTGACACTTGTAGTGAATCATAAAATTAGCACCATAAATTTAAGTCTTTATAGTAAGTCTAAACAACTAAGATAGTAGTGAAATTTAACCCTGCCCCCTCTCCCCCACCACACTCCTTCACTCCTTGACAATACGTGCACTGTACTAACCTATTGTCACTGCCATCAAACAACTTTGTGGATTAATATTAACGTTCCCATATGAATGTGTAATGTCAAACATTTGACATGTGCAGAAAGATATGCAGGTACGGTAATTAGAAACTAAATTTGGTACATATTCATTATAAGCATAGTGCTAGATATATTTAAACCATGTGAAATATTTTATTCTGAGGATTATGCTTGTGATATGTTTGTGCAGATATGTGGTGATTTCTCTGATTGATTATAATCCAATGGTGTACTGGATTTCATTATATTCATGAGATAATCTGAGGTGAATAAAAAGTAATTTATCTCTTACAACACATTTTATTAACTTTGATGGCATCGTGATTGGTTGAACTTTATGTTATGTCACTAAAAGCTTTCCTTTTCTCCCTTCAGAAAATTAATTTTTTATAAATGACATGTTTGATTTGGCACATTCTTATGGGAATATTGGATCCACAATGTTGTATGGTGGTGGTGATACTGGCTGTGTGAGTGGAGGGGAGGGGGCATGTTTACATCTCACAAGTGTCTTGCCCATTTAGATTTAATAAACAAACTTAAATTATTGGCACTGATTTTATAGAATGAAGACAAGTAACCCATATTCCTATATCATAATCATAGTAGGCAGTTATCAAACAGGTAGGTACTACCACCTGGGGAGATATTGGTAGCATAATGTGTTGTTTAATGGTAGACCCTGCTGCCCCATGGCATCACAAAAATTTTGACCAAGTCCCAGGTTGCTCATCTGACTAACTTTCTGCCTCATTTACACACAATTTCAGGGTTTCAATTGTTTCTTTTACAGTACTACTTTAACAATACAACATATACTGTGATGTGTTTTATTTTTCCATTTTGAATCCCCCCCCCCAGGTCCTGCTGTGGGTCGAGGACCTGTGCTTGGGTGGCTAATACCCAGAGTTTTAATCACCCTCTTCTGTTGCTGGAGATCATCATGTTTACAATCAGAGTTTTAAAAAAATTGAGAGA